ATTAATAAAGTTATCACCCCAAAACACCGATTAGAACATATATTCCTTCTTCACTTTTCACGTCTTTTGCTTTCTTCTGTCTTCTCTATAAAATAAATTACCAAATATGAAATGAATTCAGCCTCTTTTTTTTTAATCGAAAAATATTTATTAATTTTTATTTAATATTAAAAACTTTGATTATTAGTAAATATATAACTTTTTTTTAAAAAATGTAATATGAACACCTATGTCACGGATGGATGGCGGATGTAAAAGTATATTGTATCTTAATTTTTTTTATGAAAGATTCACAAAATAAATGATTTGGGAAGAGAAAATTATTAAAAATATATTAATGCATCCATAATTTCAGAATTTGTAATTAATTAAAAATTAATCGCATAATACTACTATCACCCTCATATTTAATTTTATATTTAAAATATGTAAAGAATTAGTTACTATATATTATCATATTACAAGTAGATACTAGTATATGTTCTCACGTTAAATGTATAGATAATTATTATACGTTATTCTATTTATTTTATTTTAATATATTTATTTTAAAATTATTTTTTATATTTAATAAATTTAAATAAATAATAAGTTATATATTATCAAATTAAATATAAAATATATTTTGAAAAAAAAAATAAAGAATTCACATGTAAATATTTACTTAAATATATTTATATATATATATATAGATGTCTATTAAATTATAATGTCATTTCAACTTACCAACCAAACACAATACACAACCGCTTACATATCAGTGTAAACGCGCAAGGAAGAAAAGGTCAGGTAGGGGACAGGAGCTTATCTGAAAGTCAGAGTCCTTTTTGACTACCAACTTCGGTTTCAATAAATGGAAAGCGTCTTTTGCTCTTTTAACCACTTCAACACTAACTGCTTTACGCTCCATTACATCTTTTTTTACTTTTAAGAGCTTTTTTTTACTGACCATAGTTACATCCAAACCCAATCCAAAGGGCCCCAATATGTGCAGGAGCTCTTTTATACACTTCTCCAGTTAATGAATGACTCAGGCTGACACCACTTTTTTGCATTCTCTACTAATACTTTACTATTAAGTATCCTCCCAGCAGTTCATTAAGATGATGGTTAAGTTCATTTTCTCTAATCTCATACCAGATAAGTACTGGTGTGTGTGTGTATATATATATATATATATATAGAGAGAGAGAGAGAAGGCGAGAGAAAGAGAGACGGAAACATTACAGAATAGGACAAAAGACTACATGAGAATTGTGATAAATGTATGAACTCAGAAATGTAGACAGGATAATGAAGTCTGGACTATTGAAAGAAATAGGAAATGCAAGAAGAGTTTTCCTCTCCATAAGTACAAGGGAGGTACACGCTTAACGGTAAAATGAGGATCTTCATATACATAAGCTGAATATAACTTACAGAATTTACACTTCATACATTACACGATTTGCAGCAAGTCCTTGCAACTTAAAGGGAATAAAATGCATACTCTCCTGAGCAACCACAAGAAAACAACAGAGCAGAGATCTTTCCCTTATAAATAGAGTTAAAAAAAAAAAAAAAAAACTCACCAGGAAACTCATGACCGAACTCCAATCTCTATGTTACTATGTGCGGTTACTTTTTGCAGACTCAATTCGCTTTTCTCTTCAATACCTCTGGCTGGCTCATCCTTGAATTTGCAAATGGTCAAGTCATTCTGGACACTGCTCTGATCCTTCACATCAGCTGAAATGGTGCTTGTGTTGTCTTCTTTGGAGATACCCAGACTAGAAGGGCGATTTCCTTGACGATAAGCTCCTCTTACTTTGTCTCTTTCAGTTGAACTGACTGCATCACCAGAGCTCTTCCTGCGGCCCAGCTTTGGTGACTTTGCACGAGTTGGTGGAAGCTGGCACCAGATATAAACATCTAACTAAGGCTTAATGACAAAATTACAACATTCAGCTAACCTTACAAACCAAATTTTTTGTGAAGATGAATCATATGTACATCTCTAACTCCATCTAAGCCATTTCTTGTCATGCTCCAGTCTTCAAGCATCACAATTTGAATAGTATCATAATATCTACCAGTTCTATATGACACCTTTTTTTTTGACAGAAATGTAACACCAAAAAATTAAGTACGTGCTGTACCTTTTTAAGTTCCACCTTAGGGGGAGGACCTTCATGGTAAAAGCTTGGCATTGGGTTTGCCTTGAACATCAAACTCCTCCTCAGTTGCTTGATAGCTGCCTCTTTTTCCTCCTTATTTTGAAAATTTTATGAGGACCAAGACAGGTGAATGTGTCAAAACAATACGCCTCTTGGAAGCCAAAAACAAAAGCAGGAACGTTAATCTAAATGCAAGAATGAGATTTCTAACAGTTGTCAAGAAAAATGTAATAAACCTTGGTCCTTGCTTCACTTTGTGTTTTCTCAGCCTCCAGGGCTTGATGTTTCTCCTCCAGCTTTGAATAAAACTAGAAGATAGTAATGAACGTTGTAAGAGCACTTATCAATCCCATGCATCACTTAGTGAAAATAGATACAATAGTAAAAGGTCAATAAAAACAGAACCTCTCTTCTTTTCTCTGCACGTAAAGTGCTTCTAAATATGGGAGCTGATGCAACAGTGGTCCTTGACTTAACAGTCTGGATGCTGGCTGCTCCAGTTCTATGCAGAGTCAAGTTGTAACAACCCAATAATTGATATATGCAGCGCATACAACATGCCCAGGCAGCATATACATGCAGCATG